AAAAAAAAAAAAAAAAAAAAAAAAATGCAAATGCAGGGCAAATGACATTAAATAAATAGAGTCTGGCTATAATCAACTAACTTGTCACAGAAATTTAAGGTTTCAACACTGGCTTCTTACCTTGATCTCCTCTGGGGCCAGGAGAGCTGCATCACTAACACTCACTGGGGCTACTTCCTCCATGGTTATGGCTGGCAGATTTGACACTACTTTAATCTCTGGTACAGGCTAGAAAAGAGATAATACATTCAATAGGAAGCCAGAAAGGACTCTTGTGAACTGTGAACCTATTAACTTCAAGTTTAATATATAAAATACTTTATGGAGATTATCTTTTTTTCACTTGCTTGAAAGTCAGCAAACCTAAGGGAGATAATTTAAAATGTTAGATATGGTGACAGCCAAAGTCCTAAGCTGACTGGCATGACAGCAGTGCTGAGGGGTGGCGCAAGCTTCTTCAGGATCCCAGAGACCTGGGTATTTTAGGGTTTTCTGTCTGAAAACCATTCCAACAGCAGGTATTTCTACATTTTTACATAACATTTCTGCCATCTTCAAACATCAGTTCCTCCATCTCTTCCTCAACTATTCCTATCTTACCATGCATGTGGACATTCTCAAACACTATAATGCTGTTTGGTAAGATTTACTGATTTCTATTAATATTATCTGACTTTGCTTACAGAAAAAAAAGCTAGCTCTAAGAAGTGTACAGGAAAAGATGCAAAGAAAGATGTTTATGAGAACAAGAGTCAAATGTAGACTGCTGATAAATTTCCTCATCTTTCAACTACTGAAAACATCTCTATAAACATAAATATGAAATAATACTGAACTATTTTGAAAAACTAAATAGTATCAAAATAAATCAAAACTATCAATTACAAAAAGGGGAAAGCAGTGTTAAATGAAGGACCATCTGCTTCAGTTTTTTTGTCTTTTTTTTGAAAGAACTACCCAAGAAATGCAGTCATTAAAACAGATTTCATACTGATCCTGCGATTAAAATGGTGACTATATACTGCAGTTAGATTAGCATTCTTTCTTCCTCATTACCGTACTGTCCATGGAGTTATTTGCTCAAGGAAACTTCACAAAGAATAAAAACAAGCCATAAACACAATAGGATCCTGGATTCTAAGTGAGAGAAAAATGAGTGTGAAAGAAATAATTTCTTCCACTGGACCGACCACTGTTCAACTGTTATTAAGAACACTGTGTTCCATTCAGGCATTTTAAGAGAAATATGGAGAAAAAGAAGACAGTGCAAAAAGTTACAAAAGGCCAGGCACGGTGGCTCATGCCTGTAATCCCAGAACTTTGGGAGGCCAAGGTGGGCAGATCATTTCAGGTCAGAGTTTGAGACCAGCCTGGCCAACATGGTGAAACTCCATCTCTACTAAAAATGAGAAAAATTAGCCGGATGGGGTGGTAGTGAGCCAAGATTGTGCCACTGCACTCCAGGCTGGGCAATACATTGAGACTCATTTCCAAAAAAAAAAAAAGCCACAAAAAATGATGGTTGTGATTGAGATTGCATGTGAAATACCAACTTGAACACGAAAAACGTATCATCAAGGGGAACCTACACTAGCAATTCTAGATTACTTATGGGAAAAAAGAAAGGCTTTTCATTTGGGGCACACAGACACAAATACATTCACTTCTCCTTTACTTCTCAATATTCCAAGGAATGTCTAAGGGGTTCCCTGCGTTAGATCCTGGCTAGTGTGAGGAACAGAGTGGAACAGTAGATGCATTTTGTGCTGTCTAAGACAAGTAGAGTGCAATGAACTAGCCAATGACTGCGAATGTGCGACACAGCTATGAGGAAAAGGAGCCAAGTGGTGAGACATACAGCAAGGTGGGAAGGGGCAGTCTACCCTAGGTAAGGAGCCAAGGAACATCTCCAAGGAGGGGAAGGCATCTAGCCTGGGCAATAAAAAGGAGCCAGCAATGCCAAAAAGGAAGTGCAGCCCAATAGGCTTATTGGGCCAGGGAAGAGCACAGCCAAAAGGTGCAAGGGACTTGGCCTTCTGAAGGAAGCAGAAAATTAGTGGGGCTTGGGATAGCAAGCTAAGGGAGACAAAAGGGGTGGGAAGAGCCAGATCACACAGGTAAGGCCCAGAAGGGGTCCATGTTCTTCACATCAGTAAGACCTGATGGACAAGAGGAGTTGAAAACTTCCATTCACCTCTTCACCTGTTTATTTTACACAGCCCAGAGTAGGGACCTTGGGAATCTAAAGATGGCTCCTGCCATCAAGAACTTGCTTGCATGTAATTACAACTAGATTAAAAACATACAAATACACAAAACTAAACAAGAAAAACAGGTAATAAAAGCTTCCTGTCTAAGAAGACAAAATATTTGCGTAGGAAAAAATCACTTAGCCATCAACTAATAGAAAGGATCTTGGAGATCAGCTCTTCTTTATGGATGAAAACATAAAGTGATTGCCCATGTACAAAGCTAGTTAGGAGCAGAACTCAACTCAGGTTCTGACTTCTAGACTAGTCCTTAATTCATGACATTCCATTTCAGACAACAACAGAGGCACCAAAGGGCAACAGGTGAGCAAGTGCCACAGGATGGCACAAGCATGTTTTATGGGTTCACAGAAGCTAGTGAGTAGGTGATGAGGCTCCAAGGAGTAGACAGGTATTGAGCAAAGTCTGGGTTACAGTCAAACAGACAGCAGCAGAAGGCCATTTGAGAAGGCTGGGCCTAGTGAGAGAACACCATGCAGTGGAGAGAACATGGGCCCAGAGTTAGTTCTCAACCTCCTGCCTCCTAAACATTGGTTTTCTCACCTGCAAAATGGAAACTATAGTACCTGCCTCAGTGTTGTGTGCATTAAGTATTAATGTATGTAAAGAACCTAATATGACACATAGCAGATACTCCATGAATGCTGGGTATAAATATCTGTATGTCTCCAAACCCATTATACAATGAAAATGCAACAGAAGACTCAGAGGGTGGGGAAGGGAGGAGTCCCTGTGGCTATGGCTGAGGGTCTGGCAGGGGCTCACTGAAGATCTGGGTAAAGCCAGAACTGTCATGGGACCAGAAGTGAGCCTTCCTCATGGAGACCCTGCCTGGAATTTACAGGAGGCTACTGCAGGTTTGCTTCCTGAAACAATGAGCTAGTCTCACAAAGGATCAGAGCTAGTAATGTCATCCTGCTCTAGTTACACACTGTACTGTTAACACACTTACCGGTTTAGGGATAAAGTGGAAGTTTGAGAGGGCATCCAATTTTAAGAAGAGGGAATCCATCATCTTCTGAATTTCTACATGCTCTGGATTTTCTTCTTCTGCTGTTTTTTGCTTAGGAAGTAAGTTCAACAATGTCAAACTAAATGGCTTGATACATATCACAGGACAAAACACTAAAGGCCAATGAGGGTATTCCCAGTTTCTTATCACCAAAGCTTCAGCTACAAAGAAACACTCCAAAAGCAAAGTTAAAAGTAGCAGTGCTGGCTGGGCGTGGTGGCTCAAGCCTGTAATCCCAGCACTTTGGGAGGCCGAGGCAGGTGGATCACGAGGTCAAGAGATCGAGACCATCCTGGTCAACATGGTGA